AGCAATTCTACTCTTGGTCACATACCCAAAGATTGCACATTCAAACAACATGCACATATGTTCAACTATGTTCATAGCAGCATTGTTTGTAATAGCCAGAATCTGGAAGCAATCTAGATGCCCCTCAACCAGAGATTGGATGGAAAAAATGTGCTACATTTATACAATGGAGTATTACTCAGAGGGAAAAAATATGAAATCTTGAAATTCCCAGGCAACTAGATGGAACTAGAAGAAAGCATCCTGACTGAGGTAACCCAATGACAGAAAGACAAGAATGGTATGTACTCACTCATATATGTTTATTAGACATAGCACTACAAGGCTTCAATATACACCAAAAGAGAAACTACGAAACAAGGAGGACCCCAAGTGAAAAAATATGGTCCCCTGAAGAAGAGGGAAGAAACAAGAACCCCTGAGCAAATTGCGAGCATGGGGGCGGGGGGGGGGAGGAGGAGGGATGTAGCAAAAGGAGAAGGGGAGAAGAGGAGGAAGGAAGAGAACAAGACTGAGATGGGGTGGAGTAGTGGGATAGAGGAGAGCAAGAGAGTAGATCCCTTGAAAGAGGGAGCCAGTAAAAGTTTAGAGAGAGGTTTGACACTACAGAAATGTTCAGGGATCCACAGGGATGACCCCAACTATGAATTAGGCAGGAGCGGAGAGGCTGCTTTTGATGTCCTTCCCCTATGATGAGACAGATGGCTACCTTGGTTGGCATCCTAGAACCTTCACCCAGTATCTGATCAAAGCAGAAGCAGGCATCAACAACTAAACACTGAGCCATACTCCTGGAATCCAGTTGTAGAGAGGGAGGAGGATGAACAAAGGAGCCAAGACCATGCTGGAGAAACCCACAGAAACAGTTGGCCTGACCTAGTAAGAGCACAGAGACCCTAGTCATAAAGCTGGGGAACCAGCATTGGACTGAACCAAGCCCTCTGAATGTGGATGCCAGCTAGAAGGCCAGGGCAGGCTATGAGACTTCAAAAAGTGGAGCCACTGTTTATTCCTAGTGTACAAATGAACTTTGGGAGCACGTTCCCTATGGGGGGATTTTATTACAGCCCAGGTACACGAAGAGGATCTAGGTCCTCCCCTAAATGATGTGACAGACTTTGATGATCCCCCAGGAAGGCCTCATTATCCTTGGGGAGTGGGTGGGGTGCATGGGCAGATGGGAGGGTGAGGTAATGTGGGGACTGATATGTAAAATAAGATTGTTTCTTAAATAAAGAGAAAAAAGGAAAAAATAAAAATAAGTAGTCATAAAGTTCTTTAAGAATTCAGGTACTCTGAAGGCAAGGTGAGGAAAACTCTCTGATGTTCAGGAACAGGCTAAACTATCTAGTTCGTTCCAGGTCAGTGAGAATATCCTTTAAATAAAAATAGAAAAAAATTGTATAAGATAAGAAAAACAAATTAATAACACTAACTGGATACAATATTATTTTCCATATGACTAACTGGAACACTGGTGAAGATGTAAGGTAACATCCATCCTTGTGGTCCTAACAGGTTTAAATAAAAGAGAAAACATATGTAAAACAATGTAATGTAACCAAGAGACAAAATGATTTTTCCCATCTCTAAACCCCATTCATGTCCTCAGCTGCTTTCTCTCCTGAAAAGGATTCAGATAGTGAGCAAATGATTCTTCGGGGTGGACATTCTCATCTGGGAGACTCAGGCTTTTCCCAGAATGATATTTGGGAGAAAATAGACTTTCATGGAGTTCATTGTTTCAAAAGGCAAGATATGAATGTCTCTTTAGGATATCTGTATTCCTACCAGGCAGGCAGGTTTCAGGGGTGTAAGGGTGAGGAAGAGGTGCTTGAAGGACCAAATGGGTACCAACACAGGAAGCCTTCAAGGTGCTATCACAGGCAGCTACACTGTAGTTGCAAGAATAAGGAGAGTGGAAGCCCTGGCAGGGGCTGACTCAGCACAGCTGGGTGGACATGTCCTCTGGTACACCCACCTCTGGCACTGCTCTCTGGGATTACAGGAATGCACAATAGCGAGGTGAGATTTTTTTTTTTTTTTGAGACTGGGTTTCTCTGCAGCTTTGGAGGCTGTCCTGGAACTAGCTCTTGTAGACCAGGCTGGTCTCGAACTCACAGAGAAAGATTTTTTTAATGACCTATAAATAAATCAGAGAATGAAAGGATGAAAAGACAGATTTAAAAGGCACCATCATTGTTTTAATGAACAGTAATACTTCTAGAAATTATATACTTGTTTACATTTACAAATCAATTCATATGTTCTCAATAATTGAGTTATTTTGTTAGCTTTGGTAACTTCTATTATAAAATGTTTGGATGAGTTTGTGTGTACATATACACCTGTACCGTGGTTTGTGGAATTGAGAACACATTAGGGTTGTCTATTTGTACTTCTCCCATGTAAGTACTAGAGATGAAACCCATGGAGTTATTTTGACTGTATGTGACCTCATTGGCACATTTTAGGGTTTAAAAATTCTTCATGTATGTGCTGATGTTTGAGTGTGCATGTGCATCAAGCCAAGCATAGAATAGGAATAATTATAGGAGTAATATGGGTCTCCCAGAGATTGAATACAAATCATGACGATTACTAGCCACTAATTTTACATACTGAGACATTATCTGGTATTCATTTGTGGTTCTAAGAAAGGGCTATGAACAAGTGTTTAGTCCTCATAATAAACTAAACTGATCAAAACAAAGATAGCAGTATATAATTTTCATCAACAAATGTGATTTATTATTCCAATTGTCCTGTTATCCTCCATCCTTAGACAGCAATATTTTTACAATTTGAAAAGTTTCCAAAATGTTACTGATGTAATATTTCACCTAATCTTATTTGGGCATCAGTGAGTGGGAAATGTCTCTGGTGTGCAAGGCTGGAGCCTGACCTTTATCAGCATATGAGGGCAGTCAAAAGAAGATCCCTCAAAGTAGTCTTCCAGATTGCACACATGTGCCAGGGCCCATAAAACCATAATCACAATGTAGGGACACACAATTAGGACACCCAAACGCTTTTGCTTTTTAAAAATAAATTTCATTGCCATTACATTATCTGACATCTCAAGACAATCCACCTAGAAGGCAGTACTTAAAGATGAAGTACCAAGTGGGTAAGTAATGGGGACATGAAGAAGCATGGACACAAAATAATATAAACATATCCATAGCTCATCAAGCTATGATATGCAATACAGAGATGATTGCTTCTTATGCTATTTTATAACATTTCTATCATATAGATGAAACTGAGGATGTGGATACACTCAGGAGTTATTTGTGCTCTCTTCTATTAAGTACTTTAACATATAATGCTAAAACATTTGACAAAATAGCACACTTTAGGGGTACAACTTCTATCATTGGGGTTGTACTCAGGAGACCCAAACATGAGAATCAGGAGTTCAGTTGTAGCTCTGTGTAATCACTCACATCCAAGTAATGCTGGATAACAAAGAACTCATGGAAATCATGAGAACATGGAAAAAAAAAACCATGAGCAACACCACGTTTTCACAGATACAGTTATTTGAAAAGTGTGACCAAACAGTGCCTGGTATTTAATAAACAATGGGTCACTAGATGACAGGCGTCCCATTCTATACATTGCAGCATAGAAATGCCTGTCAACCATCTGAAACTACAACAGAAAATGAACAGAAGCCACAGAAGGAAGATAAGAACTGCCCAATACACCGCAGTAAATGGACTTGACAAAAATGCGCAATCTTCAATGCCTACTCCAAATGTTTCAAAATACAAACTACAAGCTCAATTGTTGATATTTACCATTACACGTTGGTGAACGTGGTAAATAAATTACTTTCTTTAAGGTTCTGAAAAAAGACATGAAACAGTTTTTTCCCTGAAACTGAAGGTAACTATGATGTCTAAAGTCTTTAGAAAATAATTTATATGAGTAGGCGTTAAAAAAAAACATGTATACTTTCTTTTCAATTTCCTGACATCAAGATGATGTATAAAGGGGTCTGAAGAGATGGCTCAGATGTTAAGAGCTTTAACTGCTCTTCTAGACGTTGTGAATTCAATCCCCAGCAACCACATGGTAGGTCACAGCCATCTAAAATGTGATATGGTGCCCTCTTCTGGTATGCAGCAAACATGTATATAGAACACTGTATACATAATAAAAATAAATCTTTAAAAAAGAATGTAAGTCAGGTTAGGCATGGCAGTGTGTGACTGTAATCCCAGCACTCAAGAGTGAGAAACAGGAGGATCTTTAATATATATATATATATATATATATATATATATATATATATATATATATGATGTATAAAGGCTTTAAAATATTTGCAGGGCTTGAAGCAAGGCCAGTTGGGTTTTTGGAGACATTTAATTTCATACAACAGGTGGTCTCACATTCTTGGAATGCAGCATGCATATACACATGCACATACCTATACAAAAAGACACTGAACTCACAAGATGAAAATTAAAGCAATTCATTAAGCAAATTTGCACTCATGAATGTTTTTCTCATATAAGTGTTCATTCCTTTAACCCGCATGTTGAGGCATCTAAAGGCAAAGTTTTTCTCATCATGAATCGCATTGTAAAACAGAAATCAAACTGTAAGGCTTGAAGCCATGGAAAGCAATATTAAGTAGGTGGTATCATCTGGGGAGATTTAGAAAACGCTATCCTGCTGGAGAAAATATGTCACTGCGGTTGGCCTTGAGAGCTTATATCCACACACCATTTCCAGTACCCATCCTCTATTTCATGCTGCAGGTTGAGGATGTGAGCTCGAAACTTCCTACTTTAGCCGCCATGTCTGAAACTTCTTGCCAAGCCATTTTCATGGTGATCATGTATCTGATGTAATCATAAGCCATTTAAAAATCTTTTATAAGCTGCCTTAGACATTATTCTTACCACAAAAACAGAAAAGACACTGATACACATCCATTATCTTTTAAACATGGAAATAAGTTATTTCATGTAATTGAAGAGAAGTGTGAAATCATAAAGTTTATTGTTTTACATTTAGAGGCTTTTGCCCATATCAATTTGCAGGTACAAACAAAACAAAGAATGACAGCATCATGAATGAATAGAATGTTGACACGTTTCAGATTTTTTTCTACAGAGTAACTAATTTTGTATAAGTGAATGTATTGCATTCGCTAATGATCTTACAAAAGATATGGTACTCATACTGCCTTCAATGTTTACTTTATGTCCTTAAAGATTATTATTACATGCAAATGTTTTAACAGATTGATTAAACATTACAGGTAATATTCTTGTATAAAAACTACCATGAACTTTACAATACCATGCTTACTACATAACGGGTTTCTTTGAAGTTTCATTTTTCTCCTGATTTCAAAAATTACTGCTACATGCAAAGGCTGTACCACAATGTTTAGATCCAGCATGTCTACTTTTATATAGTCAGAGACAAGTCTGTTTCATAAAGGTTTTGTCACATTGATTACATTGGTTACCTTAATTACATTAATTCATTTTCTCCCCAGAATAACTTTTTTTATGCCTTAGAAGAGAATGCTGTGACAAAAAGCCTTTCCCTCATTGATTACATTTATAGGGTTTCCCTCCAGTATGTGTTCTTTTATGGCGTTGAAGACTACTGCGGTGTGCAAAATCTTTATCACATTGATCACATTTGTAGGGTTTCTCTCCAGTATGTGTTCTTTTATGCTGTTGAAGGTTACCATGACGTGCAAAGGCTTTATCACATTGGTTACATATGTAGGGTTTATCTCTAGTATGTGTTATTTTATGATGTTGAAGACTACAGTGGTATGCAAAAGCTTTATCACATTGATCACATTTGTATGGCTTCTCTCCAGTATGTCTCCTTTCATGAATTTGGAGATTTTTGTAATAGACAAAGGCTTTACGACATTGATTACATTTGTAATGTTTCTCTCCAGCATGCATTCTTTCATGTACTTGGAGATTACTCTGTTGTGCAAAGGCTTTATCACATGGATTGCATTGGTAGGGTTTCTCTCCAATATGTATTTTTTTATGATGTTGAAGATAACTGTGCTGTGCAAAGCATTTACCACATAGAGTACATTCATAGGGCTTCTCTCCAGTATGTGTTCTTTTATGGTCTTGAAGACTACTTTGGTATGCAAAGGCTTTACCACAATGAATACATTCGTATGGTTTCTCTCCAGCATGTGTTCTTTTATGGTCTTGAAGACTACTGCAGTGTGAAAAACCTTTATCACACTGATTACATTTGTAAGGTTTCTCTCGGGTGTGCATTCTTTCATGTATTTGGAGATAAGTGTGACTTACAAAGACTTTACCACACTGAGTACATTCAAAAGATTTTTCTCTAGTATGTGTTCTTTTCTGCATTCGTAGATAACTGTGATGTACAAAGGCTTTACCACACTTAATATGCTGAGAGGATTCTTCTTCAGTATGAATTTTTTCATACCTGTGAAGATAATTGTTAATGGAAATGCTTTACCATGTTTATCACACTGACTAATCATTTAACCATAAAAATCCATTTCATAATTTGATCTACTTATAAAGAGAAATTGTAAGGTTTTCACTTTGCATCCACAGTGTTCCCCTTCATTATGGAAAGTTTTGTATCTGTAAAGATGCCTGTGTTAGTGGGGGGTCTTTATTAACACAGTTCACTGTGGTATTGGAATAGCTATAGTCCCCATTGTCTCATGTGTTGGAATGCCTGGCTGATAGTTAGTGCCACCATTAGAATACGTAACTTTGAGAAACAATGACCTTGATGGAGGAAGTTTTTTTTTTTTTTTTTTTTTGGTTTTACGAGACAGGGTTTCTCTGTATTGTTTGAGGCTGTCGGTCCAGCCTGGCCTCGAACTCACAGAGATCCGCCTGGCTCTGCCTCCTGAGTGCTGGGATTAAAGATGTGCACCACCACCGCCCTGCGGACTTTGAAGTTTTATATGTTCTAGCTATGCCCAGTCTCTTTCTGCTGTCGGCAGATAAAGAGGCAGAACTCATTTTCCTCTTGAGCACCACTTATGTCTGCATGCCACCATGTTTCCTGCCATAATAATGGACTAACTCTTTGAAACTCTAAGTCAGTCCCAATCAAATGCTCTTGTTTATAAGAGTCACCATGGTCTTAGTGTCTGTTCACAGCAAGAGAAACTCAAAATTGATACTCACCCATAAAGCATTCCTTTTCTATGAGGTTTTTCACATATATTAAGAGAACAGGAAGAACTCAAACTTCACTACACTGATTGCTTTCATAAATTTTTCTATACTGAATCATATAGCTTTTGCAACATCAACCAGGATAATCAAAATAATTTTCACATTCCTAGTATGCATAGGGCTTTTCTGCAATATGAGTTTGTTGATGCATTCCCAATGAAGATGAAAAACCAATTAATTATAAACTTTTATCACATTCAGAAAGTAAACTCTAAATGGAGACTACTTCATTTTTTACTTAATCTGGGAGAGATATGTTGCTTCTGTGCATATCCATATAAACTTAGCAAAGTCAATAAATGTATATGAATAATACTAACATTACTCGACTATTTTCTTTTCTTTACTCTTGACTATTTACTTATTAGAAAATATTGAACATATGTGAATTACCTATCAAACATGAGTACACATTGAAATATCTTTGTACTATGAAACTAAATTCATTGGAAATGCTAGGGCACAGCTCGCACAGGACTATAATTCATATTGTTATATCAGATAAGATATTTATTCCTTGTCTTCTTTCTATGTGGAATGCATTTCAATTACAAATTTACAACCTTACATTGAAGCACATAGTTTGATGCTGATATAGTTATCAATAAAGTGTAAATAAATACAGCTGAGCTTGTTTACACTATTGCTTTAGAGGCACATTTATCTGAGGGTACACATGAAAATTACCTTCCATATTGTGTAGGTATTTGATCAGCTTCTTCAATATTATTGTCTTGCCAAATGTAGCCTAAGTTATAATACCAGAAAATATATGAAACATTTCAGTTATTATGCAAAATGTAAAATATTACCTTCATTGAACCTCATAACTATGACTGATTTATTCACAACATTCTTCCTCTTTCTCAATCAAAAATACAAAAGAGTCAATTACAAAGAAAGAATTGTCCTCTTAATCAAAAAGTGAAATTTAATTCATTGCCTTACCTATGTCAGTGAGGTTCCTGTAGGTATCCAGCATCACTTCTTTGTAGAGATTCTTCTGAGAAGGATTCAGCAAAGCCCACTCGTCCGATGTGAAATTTACATGCACATCATCATAAGTCACTGTATTCTAAAATATCCCATATATATGTATAACAAAAAGCATGACACTGACAACACTGTGAATAGATACTTCTTTAAAAATATATCCATATACTTCTGATGAGTCTCACAAGTATTCCATGACAGAAGTTCTAATGCAATCACCACATCATTTTAGAAGGAAACTGAATATTGATACCCACCTCTGTTATTTCTACATATTTTGAACAGAATATAGCCTTTCAAGAGAAATGTATATTAACAGACGTAAGAAGAATGACAAGTAAGAAGGTCAATAATACTGATAACATATTAGAGATGTCATATGAACAACTACTAACTAGAAAAAAGATGGATGAGGTGGTTATTTTGGTTCTTGTCTTTAATCCCAGCACTCAGGAGGCTTAGGCAGGTGTATTTCTGCTGTGGAACAATCTTTTTGTACACTGTGAATATGTATTACTCTTATTGGGTAATAAAGCGCTCACTGGCTTATAACTGAGCAGAAGGCTAGGGGCAAAACCATACCAAGAGGATGCTGGGGGGGAAGAAGGGCAGTGGAGAGACACAGAGAATAAGATGGACATGCTTAGAAAAGTTACCAAGTCACATGGCAAAGCATCGATAAGATATATGGGGTAATTGAAATGAAAGAGCTAACTAGTAACAAGTCTGAGTTATTGGTCATGCATTTATAAATAATACTAAGATTCTGTATTGTTATTTTGGAGTGGGCAAAAGGGATAGGAAACCTCCACCTACAAGTTGCATTCCAAAGGACTGGAATTTCCACACAAGACCGAACAAATATTTAAAGAGGTGTCTAAACTCACAGAAACATTGCGGAGCTTGGCTTCCTAGTCTCATGTTTCTCATGCCAGCCACAGTATTGAAAAAAAGCTTCCAGCAGCTGCCTGTGGAAGACCCAGCCACCAGTCACCTTGCACTACAGCCATGCACTAAGCTAAGCTACACCACCAGAGGGCTGGCTTATCATGTTACAATTGTTCTTATTAGGCCAGAAAGAGTTTACAGATATGCAGTAAAGAAAGACTGACAAGAGAGAAAAAAAATTCTAAACAGGTTAGAGTGTGTTTAAAAATATACATAGGCTCGTGAAAGCAAAGAGGAAGAACAGTTAAAAAATTTATAGTTTTAAAATGATGAAATCCTTAAAAAGAGTGTAAGTAATATAAAGGAAAAAAACAATAAATGTTGGGAAATACACAGAGTCTGGATCCTATGTGTTATTGCATTCTATTTAAATTATCTGGCTGCTAAGAGACACTGGATAAAGAAAGCCAATAGAATCAGCCAGCCTGCATATTTCAGAAATATACATAACACAAAACTTAAGTCAAATGTATACCTCTTTGGGGCAGAAGTTATGCTTTTAATTTTACAGAAGAGGAGAGACAATGAATTCATTCCTGGTTTTAAAAATTCAGATATCATGGAAGACCCTGAAATCCTGGCTACAGACATAATGCCTCTGTTGTAGTTCATAAGTTCTACTTCCAAACCAGGTTCAGGGCTACTCACAAGGAGGGTCCCCTGAAAGCATGAGTCTTCTGCCCCAGCAAACTGGTCCTACAGATATGCCAGTTCCAAATGAACACACAGACACTATACCAATTATATCATTGTTGGCAGTTGGAGGGCTTCTTGTTTGGCTAGCTCTGCCTTAATTATTTAACCCTTCTATTAATCCATGTACTTCCACATGGTCTTGGTTTACTGGGCCAGACCTGCAATACCTTTGCCTGCTGCATGATGACTGCTCAGCATCTTCACAGAGAAGAGAGTGATTTCCTGTGTGTCCCTGCTTATATCCTGCTTCTGCCCAACTACATCACTTCCTTTCTGGTCAATCAGCCAATCTGTATTTTATTCGTAAACTAATGAGGAAAATATATATACAGAAGACATTACCCATCAGTCCACCCTCACAATGTACCCCAGCCCAAACCTAAAATTTATCCTGAATTTTTTCAATGTTTCCCCAAAGATGTCAATGGACCCAAACAACAGTACCTACCCTATAGAATGATGTCCACCTTCTCAAAGGAATAGTTTACGGATGCTTATTATCATTTAAGGGAGGATGGCTACAAATTGTTAGTGGTTAATGGTGAAGAAAAAAATATAAACAATGGATATTAAATTCAGGGATTTCTTTCCAAAGGAAAAAAAGGGGGATATGTTACAAAAATGATGAGATAAATGCGTCGATTATTCAATGTATTTTAATCTAATGACAACTTTTAACCTTAAATTTTTTTACATTGGTAAAATGATGTTTGCAAATTGATACAAATTGAAGGTTATTTTTCTTATACTGCATACATTTCTACTTTTTAAAAAGATATTTTGTAAATTTTGGAGATCAGGCCTCTTTCAGATGTGGGGTTAGTGAATATCTTTTCCCAATCTGTGGGCTGCCTTTTTGTCTTGCTGATTGTGTCCTTTGCCTTACAGAAGCTTCTCAGATTCAGGAGGTCCCTCTTATTAATTGTTGATCTCAGAGTTTGTGCTACTAGTGTTATGTTCATGAAGCAGTCTCCGGTAACAATTTCTTCAAGGGTACCTCCCACTTTCTCTTCTAACAGGTTCAGTGTGCCTGGATTTATGTTGAGGTCTTTGATCCATTCAGACTTAACAAGTCTCCAAAACACCAAAGGATCCAATTAAAAAGTGGTGATTCAACTAAATAGAGAATTCTCAATAGAGGAGTCTAAAATGGCTGAGAGACACTTAAGAGGATGCTCAACATCCTTAGCTATTAGGGAAATGCAAATCAAAACAACTCTTGAGATATCACAGAACGGCTAAAATCAAGAACACTAATGACAGTTTGTGCTGGAGAGGATGTGGAGAAAGGGGAACACTCGTCCATTGCTGGTAGGAGTGCAAACTTGTACAGACACTTTGGAAATCGGTATGGAGATTCCTCAGGAAAATGGAACTCAGTCTACCACAAGACCCTGCAATACTACTCTTAGGAAAAGATACCCAGTCACACATCAAGGATGTCTGTTCCACTATATTCATAGCAGCATTATATGTGCATTTACACAATGGAGTACTACTCATCAGAAAAAAATAATAGAATCTTGAAATTTGAAGACAAATGGATGGCACTAGAAGAAACCATTCTGAGTGAGGTAACCCAGTCACAAAAAGATAAACATGGTATGTACTCACTCATTTATGGATTTCAGATATGGATCAGGGAAGTGTCAGCCTATAATCCCAGTGCCAGGAGTCTGAGAAATAGGGAGGTTCCCAAGAGAGATGTATGATGCCCCTGAGAAATGTAATGAGCCAAGATCTCCTGAGCAGATTGGGAACATCAGGAGAGTGGAGAGGGAACCAGGAAAAAGAGAGGAGGATAAGCGGAGGGGAGAAGAAGGCATGGGGGAGCAGGAAGGTTGAGTCGACGTAGGAATAGAGGAGAGCAGGATGAGAGATACCATAATAGATCGAGTCCTTATAGGCTTGAGGAGAGATTTCCAGCGATGTACAAGGATAACACCAACTGGCAAACTAAGCAATAGTGGAAAGACTACATTAATAGCCCCTCCTTGATGATAAGGTTGATGACTGCCTAGAACCTTCATTCTGTGACAGTTGGAAGCAGAGACAGATACCCACAGCTAAACACTGAGCTGACCTGCAGGAACCCAGTGACAGAGATGGAGGAGTGACGAGCAAAGGGGTCAAGACTGTGCTGGTGAAACCCACAAAGACAGCTGACTGGACAAGGAGGAGCCCTTGAACCCCAGACTGATGGCTAAGAGACCAACAGGAGACTGATCCAGACTCCATGAATGTAGTGCCAGGGAGGAGGCCACAGAAATCACTGGGGCCTTGGATAGTAGATCAGTGTTTACCATGGAGTACATTCCATGGTACTTTGGGAGCCCATTCCAAATAGAGGGATGCACTCTCATAGCCTGGACACATGGGGAAGGGCCTAGGTCCTGTCCTAAATGAAATGACTGACTCTGGACAACACCCAAGGAGGGCCTCACCCTCCCTGGGGAATGCTATGGGGATTGGGTGGGGGTTTTCAGGGGTTCTGGTGGAGGGACAAGGGAGGAGGGGTGTGAGAGGGAGCTTTGATTGACATGTGAAGCATTCATGTTTCTAATGTAAATAAAACATATAATGAGGGAAAAAAGATATTTTGTAAATTGATACCAATTTGTTTATTTTCCTCTTCTAGTTTTGCTTAAGGTATTACCTATATAGCTCTATGTGTACTGCTTGTTTAGTTATACAATATGAAGCTTTATTTCTCAAAAGCTATTTGGATAAAAAAGAAATACATAGGGGCCGGGCATTGGTGGCACACGCCTTTAATCCCAGCACTCTGGAGGCAGAGGCATGCGGATCTCTGTGAGGTCGAGGCCAGCCTGGTCTACAAAGTGAGTTCCAGGACAGCCTCCAAAGCTACAGAGATACCCTGTCTCGAAAATCCAAAAACAAAACAAAAAAAAGAAATACATACTCCAGGATTTTTCAAGATCATACAGAGATATATTTGTGATAATATTCAAACCCTTCAGAGACTAAGGGAATATGACATTTAAAATGTTCTTACACTTTTCTCAACATGAGACATGTGTGCTAGTGGTGAAACCAATTTACTTCAAAAGAGAATGATGGCCACTGAAAAAACTCCATGTGGACCTCTCTCTCTCTTTCTCAAGATAGGGTTTCTCTATACCTTTGGAAACTGTTGACCATACTGGTCTCTAACTAAGAGAGATCTACCTGTCTATGCCTCCTTATGCTTCGATTAAAGGCATGTGTCATCACTGTTCAGCGAGTTCTCTTTCTTCATGAAGAAAGCTGGCCATTTAGACAGGAAACTGCCCTAGTCTCAACTGCTAATAATATGATATCCAAACTGCACAAGCAGGACACGAAGTTAAAGCAACTGATGAATGTTGCCAAGACAGGGTAGGGCAGCCCTGCATCTAAAAAAAAAAGTCTCTTGGATATTTTAGGTTTGTAAGTCGA